ACTGGCCCGGTGTGGATGAATCGTTGGAGCACCTGTGCCGAAGCTGTTTATGCTGTGCCATCGCACAAAAACAGCCCAACCGACACCTGACAGAACCCTGGCCAAAACCAGAGACCATGGGTGCGTCGCTACATTGGTTATGCTGGACCGATTACCGAAAATTTCCTAGTTATCGTGGATGTCTACGGCAAATGGCCAGAAATGTTTACTACGGATACAACCACTGCAACTGCAACGATTGCGAAACTACAACATCAGTTTTCCACTTTTGGAGTTCCGGAGTCAATCGTGTCCGACAACGGTACGCAGTTCACTCCCCAGTTGTTCGTTGATATCAGAAAAAGATGCTGAATCACTCACAATAAAGTGCTCCTTTCCATCCGCAATAAAATGAACAGGTCGAATGATATGTTGACACATGTAAGCGGGCCATACTGAAATGTAGGGATGGACAGCGGAAATACTGGATATATTCCTACTGCAAATTGCAAATCCGCAAAGTCCGAAAGGCCGTTTTCCAGGCGAAGCATTGATGAACAGGAAATTACGTCTGGCACAAGATGCTATCCGACCAGTATCCGGCCGGTAGTCTGTTGTGATGTAAGTAAAGCGTATGTTGCGACCAGATCGTGTGTTAATTAGAGAGCAGCGCTGTAGCCATCAAAAGTGGGCTGTCGGCATCATTAAAGGACGTATTGGGAGCGTCTTGTACGGCGTCTAAATAGGTCCGTTGCTGTGGAGGCGCCATGTTAATCGACTCTGTCGAAAGTTTTGTCGTGACCTACAGTGCGGCAATGGACCTCTTAGTCTTGATCTACTATTGGAGGCGTTCGAAATGGAAAGGCCTACTGAAGCCGGAACGGCAGGTAACCTAGCGACGACGACAGATAGCATGCCCTAACAAAGCCGCGAATCCAGCCGTACGCGCAAGTCAGTAACTCCGTTGCAGCTTGAACAAAGACGAGGATGGGACCTCGAACAACCCTAGGGGGGAGTGTTAGGATGGTACGGTTAATCGAGTGCAAACCAGCGGAACACGTGAATCGCTTTGGCTCAACCAGCTTCCCCAAAAACCTGAACGAGCTGAGCCCATGGTTAACCCGGCTGATGCCTAACGCATCGGAAAGATAACGAGCAACAGACCAGTGTTTATTTGAAATCGCTACCCATGATCGAATGCGCATTCGGTTAGTGCAGGCTGTACAGTGTGAATTAATCACCCGCGGTTGGTTCACGTTCCGTTCACAGAATAAACTCCGGTTTTTCGAATACTTGCCCTGCTTGTTCTTTATTGCTGTGCATTGGCCTACTCTCTACTCTAACAGTGTCCGACACAACAAACAAATTGGGTATTGACGTGTGTTGCATATCCGAAAGCAGGATCAATAATCCTTACAGGTATGTTAGCAGTCATGGATACAACAAAGACTGGAAATGGTATTAATAGCTTCTTAAGAGTTATCGAAGATCACGTTAATATGGTGATCCGAAAAAGTGGTTTGAAGGGGCAAGTAGGTTATTACAACGACAGGATAAATAAACACACGTAAAAGTACAACCTGGGATTTAATTCAGTATGACTGATGGAAAAAATGATAGTGCTGCATGTAGGGTAGTTTTCCGCAGAGGAAACTGAACGGTAGAGTGCATATGTGAAATGGGAAGTGGATCAAGTGAAGTCTAAGGTTAAAAGACCACAGCAACGGGTCCATACGAAAAGTTACAGTTGTCTTGTAAAACAGCTGTGACCAGATAGAACTGACACATGAAAAACAGTGGAATCAAACGACTGGACGAGTGTGCTCATCGATAAGTCTGTTGGTTATTGAAAGATTATCAGACACCATGCTACTCTCTGAAAGCTAATTTGAGACTAAGGAAACAAAGCACAGTGGCTGGCTAGCCGAACAACCTCCTCGTGGTGCCAGCTGGGTGATTCGGGTTTACCCCCTTTCAGCAAATAGTTCGGCGGCAGTGTTCCAGGACGTGGTGGGTTTTCGGCTGGCAAGCGCTCTCCCTATAAAAAACCACATATGTCCGTTTAACAACACTGTGACGTGGCGGTTGTGACTCGCCACTAACTAAAGTCACCCATTGCTTATCCGAACAATCGCTTCAAGTCCACAGATAGCAAGCACTGGCGACACCTTCAAACACATTCAAGCAAAATGACAGGAAACATTTACCACTAGCAGTCATGGATTCGATCCTCCGCAGAGGACCGAAGGATGCGCACCACTGATGAGCCCCAATAGGGCGAAACGGCCGTCTGGTGCTTTTCCGGACAGCTGGTCGACATATCTGAATTGTCGGCTGATTGCGACGAACAAAATAAACATTTACCAATCTCATAAACAAAGCTAAACACGCCTACATGTAAACTTACATACATTCATATATAAACATATGCAACAATCCCATTGTTCCATTGTAGATTAACTGATCACATTTTGTACTCTTAACATGATCATGCCTGCGCAGGCGTGCCTCGCTTAGTGGAGAATACATAATTTATTTATTTATTTATTTGAAGGAATAAAAACTATGAAGGCGGAAAACGAAGTTTCGGAAAATCCTCTATAATAATCGGGGACGATGTGATCGAGGTTCATGAATTGATAGCAATGAGTATAGGAGTCGTCATGAAACAATAATAAACACCAGATGTCCTAGGTGGATCAGACAAATCGTACTGCGTGTAATACGATGTGCACTATTCTTATGAAATGCGCAGTATTGGAGCTGATAGACAGCATATAAGCAGCGACTCTAAGAATGAAAGAACTTTTCGGTGAGACAGCTGGAGATTTTGCTAACAGAGCGAATATCTGCGGTTCTCGCAGTGGTACATACACGACGGAACAACTAACCACTGTCACTTAACGTACCCGGAGCAGTTCGCTTTAGTACATCTAACAGAGGATGCATCGAAGACGTGAGTAGGGAGAAAATGTGACAAAGATAAGAAATAGGCGAGATTCATGTTTAGGCTTATTCTCCGAGCCGAACTATCTCGTTGCAGACGTTTCATCACCAATTGAGGTGACTTCGTCAGTGCGTACTAAGCAAAAATTGACTGGTAGGAGAGTGATATTTGAACTTGTCCACTTCGATTTACGTCCGGTGACCAATGCTAATTTGCAGTTCGATCACCGCCTCTTTCAGACTCATGTAGTGAATGGCCCGCCTTAAATTCTATTTTTGCAGTTGATCGTAGATCGGGTCTAAGTCAATGCGCAGATTTATCGAGTTCTCCGTAGAGAACCATGCATCGAGAAATTATCTTCTTCTTCTTGTCTCTCCCTGCGCTAGGACCTCCGTCTTTCCCAATCAAACATGTGCGCTTCTTCGTCAACGTGTGTCGAGAAGAAAGCCATCTGTTTACATCCTTTATGCGCAATGGATATCCACCCAATTTCATCCCAAAATACATAACCTGCAAGACTACAAATGCCACACCTGAACCAACAACAACGAAACGGATCGCTTTGCCCTACATCAAGAAGGTATCAGAAATGACTGCTCGACTCCTCAAACTTTACCACCTGTTGTTAGCTCACATACCAACCTCCTCTCTGAAAGCAACCCTATCTAGACCGAAGGGGATCACAGGAGCACATGAACATCGGAGGGTTGTTTAGAGGATACAGTGTAAAATTGTGATAAACATTATGTGGAGCAAACGCTGCCGTTTCAGCTGTACGCCGTAACGGCGCTTCGCTGCCGCGCGACCACCACCAGTCGCGCGCGGGCTGAGTAGAACGCGAGGACGCCCACCCCTACGCGGATTTGAACCGGTGACCTTATGGTTGCAAAGCAAACGTGCAGACCACTCCGCCACCGGCCGACATGTGGACCAAACAGGGAGAAAGTTATCTTCAAAGTTACAAGAACACAAGCGAGCCTGTCGAGACGATTATTCATCATCATTGGTCTTGACACACGCCGACGAAGAAGGGCACATGTTTGATTGGGAAAAGACGGAGGTCCTAGCGCAGGGAGAGACAAGAAGAGTCGATGCATGGTTCTCTACGGAGAACTCGATAAATCTGCGCATTGACTTAGACCCGATCTACGATCAACTGCAAAAAAAGAACTTAAGGCGGACCATTCACCATGTGAGTCTAAAAGAGGTGGCGATCGAACTGCAAACTAGCATTGGTCACGGGACATGAATCAATGTGGCCAAGTACAAATATCACTCTCTCACCAGTCAATTTTGCTTAGTATGCACTGACGAAGTCACCTCGATTGGTGATGAAACGTCTGCAACGAAATAGTTCGGCTTAGAGAAAAGATAAACCTTAACAGACAACCGGAGCTACAGGTATTCCGCTTTACTGCAAATAGGCGAGATAATGAAAATGAAGGTAGATGAAACTGGTCCGTACGCAAAGATAATAGTAATGTATATTCTCGGTTTTAGGAGGCATGCACTCTTCCGCATGGTCACCAGAAGAGTAGAGATATGTTATAACTGATGACAACTAGAAACAACAGACCGAACGGAAGAGCACCAATGACTTTGCGAGTGAGTTAACGATACGGCCAACGTTGAGGTAAAGGGAACAGTTATACATGAGATACCTCGCTATCACTGTCTGAATAGAATTTAATGCTCCATGAAGTTTGTGGACGAATTGGAATGGATTGAATATGTTAACAAAGTCTCATGCCTGTTCTGACAACATGATGAAGTAGAACAGTGGGACAGCCGTGCAAAATGATACAAAATACCCATAGACGTAACAGTAGATGCCTCACAAATTCACCGGAAGACCGTCACGAGAGGTGATAAACAAGATCTACTCTGCAAAGTATGCTGAGTAAACCAGCATAGGACCTACGTTGGCCATCATGGAGTGTACGCCATGACATGGACCTTACGCACATGTACAATAGATGTGGAAAGTATATGTAATTGAGCAACGAGCACACTTATCCGATGGAAGGGTAGACAAGCGAATGAGTGAACAAGCAGGATCTTGTGTCTTACTCACTTTACTGACGGGAACGGATTCACCAGTCAACATGGATTCGTCAACTATGCATGTTCCTCTGATAAGGAGCAGATCACACGGGATGAGGAACTTCTGGTTGCCATCCGCAACAGAGACGATATCACCTGCGACCAGTTTATCACTCATGATGCGGGACCACCGTTTCTGGCGGTAAACCTACGTGTAGAAAGTAACAAACATGAGGCAACGCGTTTCGTGACAATAAAAATACATTTTAGATACTATGTGCCGTAATAATCAATGGTTATGATAATAAACCCATAGATATTGCAAAGTCGCTAGGCACACAAATCGGGTCAAATAGACTGCCTTCGATTAGTCGCAAACAAGGTCGTCGCTCATACGGGAAGGCATCATCAGAAGTGAGAAAGAGGAAAGTAACCTGAACTAGTACCAAACCCAGAACAACAGGTCCATGACAAAAAATTTTAGTACAGGATTGCATAAGTATTAAAGATTAATAAATTGATGTACGAAGAAACCGGGGTGGAATTAGTTCGCCCAAGTGTTTATTGGCAAAAGATCATCACCACTGACAGCAGTAATAAAAGTAGCAACAGTAAACCCGCCCTATACACTTATGATTCTCAGTCATGTACATATAGAATATGGGTGAAGAGTGTCGCTGTTGTTAAGATAAAGTAAGGTTTATGAGTCCAAATGGTTTCCTTTTCAGCATTACATTACAATTGCGGATGTTGCGGAAGATTATATCAATAAAATACATAAACGATGAGAAAAATGAGATGTACACAAATGACTTTCTAACAGTCGCTCATGCAGCATGCCTACGACTCATTGAATTAGCAAGTAAAACGGCATTGTGATACTAAGTGGTAGAAGTAAAACCGTACGATTTGTACGCGCAGAAAAGAGACAACGATTTTGAAAGGTCCCTGTGCGGTGGATGAACTCGATCATTTAGGATCATGAATGATGACAATAAATGATGAAATTAACTGGTCTCTATACCTTTCCGGAAGCAAGCCAGTCCTTAACGGAATCAAGCTCCTCCTTAAGAATATTCAACCCAATTCATAACCACATCAAGCTGAATCCATCGTCTTGACCAATTGCAAATCAGTACAAGTGTACTCAGAACGTCTGCATCGGTTGGTGCAGCGCTCAGCCAACAAACCACGTGATGCAGTGGACGCGAAAACAACTCGTGAGCTCATTCACTGTAGGATGGGTGCGGACTAGCACGCGGCATCTATGGACGGTTGAGGAAGTACTGTAACTTACACCCACTCACTTACGCGGCATCAAGACACACAACGCAGAAGTGGGCGGCCATCCGCGTGCTCACTGTTACTGGCTGGCTGGCCGAACTACCTCCTCGTGGTGCCAGCTGGGTGGTTCGGGTGTACCCCGTTCCAGCAAAGTGTTCGGCGACAATGTTCCACCTCGGTGGGACATTGTATTCCAGCAGGTGTGCTGACTATATGGGGAGTATTGGGCCCCTGTTTGGTAATCTACCAAACAAAGACGCATGAACTGAACATTCAGTCAACGCCTCCCAATGGGCGCGATTCCCTAAATTCGCCCCGCTGCCTTGCGGGTAGGTTATTTAGCCAAAGGCTCGGGGTGGAGTCCCCTAAGTCAACTCCCTACTTCGGCTTGGGCAACCGGGTAGTATCACGCCCTCTCGCAAAACCATGGACTGTATTACAACTTGCTCACCAGCTGCTGTTTCTGCTAGTCACTTTCACGCGACTTCATCACACGCCAATTGTTTGTTTGTTAACAATCCTCACTTTCCTTTACCCGATTCATGTGCTCAGCAATCTGGCTGCGATTCCGGTTGCGCCGCAGACCAAGAGGTTCAACCCATGGCTCTCCTTCGTCCCCGATCCTCATTCCGTCTGGCGTGCTTCAACGTTCGGACACTCATGCAGATTGGACAGCAAGCCGGTCTAGCGCGCACTCTAGATTCCCTAGACATTGATGTCTGCTGCCTTTCAGAAACCCGATTGCAAGATCCCAGCACTGTGCTCACACTGACATCCCCCACTGACCACGAAGCCAGATATCACCTACGTCTTTCTGGAGATCCAGAAGCAGCCTCAGCGGGTCTGGCTGGTGTAGGTATAGCACTAAGTGACAAGGCCGAGGCGGCACTACTGGACTGGTTCCCTATTAACAGCCGATTATGTGCAGTTCGGCTTCGGGGTTCGTGTAGAATCAACAGGCACCGCGAAGAGAGACACAACTTGTTTGTGGTCTCAGTGTACGCTCCAACTGACTGCAGTGGAGACTCGGTCAAGGACGAATTCTATCGGGATCTACAACAACTCTTGACTAATGCTAAAAAGTCGGATGTCGTTATCCTTGCTGGGGATTTTAATGCACGGGTTGGCCGCCTGTTACCATACGAACGCCACCTTGGTGGTCATCACGCGCTCGATGAGAACCGCTCTGATAACGGAGAGAGACTTCTCACATTGTGCGAAGACAACCGTCTGTTTCTTTCGAGCACTAACTTCAGGCGTACGAAGAAGCGTTCCGCAACGTGGCGTCCCCCTTCTTCAACACAACCGTGGTCTCAAATTGATCACATTGCAATTAGCTTCAGATGGCGCGGCAGCGTACTAGACTGCAGGTCCTTTTGGTCCACATTCGTTGACTCAGATCATGCTCTGGTATGCGCGAAAATCTGTATGTGTTTTGGAGGATCCCGAAACACGAAGCATCGCAAGATTGATGTAAATAGATTAACTGATTCCTCTGTCCAGACGAGCTATCAGTCTTCATTGGCATATGCACTCAGTTGCAATCCACCTCAAGAAGTGGAACAACACTGGACTTGTATACGGAAGGCAATGACCATTTCCGGACAGTCATGCTGCGGCCTAACTCGACGCCCATTGAAGGCTTGGATCTCTGCTCGTTCTCTGGAGCTGTTCGAACGCCGCAAAGATATCCCCGCGGAATCAGATTGCAACGAGCGGCGCCGTTCTGCCAACCGGCTGCTCAAGCAAAGCCTACGCAAGGATCGCGAGACGTGGTGGTCTGAGCGTGCTTTAGAGATGGAGACCGCTGCCCTCTCTGGCAACACTCGCAGGCTTTTCCAACTCATTCGGTCCACTGGCCTCAGGAAACCTGGTGTCAGTGAGGTCATTTGTGAGGTGGATGAGTCTCCGATCACCAACCAACAGAGGCGTATGGACCGTTGGGCCGAGCACTTTCACTTGCAGTTCAACTGGCCTCCACCATCCATCAGTACATGCAGTACACGTTGTTGTCCACCCTGGCTCGTCCCTCTGAATCCACCCAGCGAAGCGGAAGTCGGCCTTGAGATTCGACGCTTCAAGCGCTTCAAGGCTGCCGGCTTAGACGGACTTCCTCCGGAGCTATTCAAGTACGGTGGTGTGGCGATCATTAACCAGCTGACCGCGCTGTTCGCAAAAATTTGGCATGAAGAGAAAGTGCCTTCCTCTTGGGGAGAATCAGTCATTATCCCGATTTTCAAGAAAGGCGCTCGCACTTCGTGTGCAAATCATCGCGGGATTAGTCTTATTTCGGTTGCCTCTAAACTATTGGCATCCATTCTGCTTCGCAGGCTATCCCCAGTACGTGAATCATACTACCGTGAAGAACAAGCTGGTTTCCGTCCTGGCCGCGGATACGTGGATCAAATCTTCACGCTCCGCCAGCTCCTCGAACATCGCCACATTTATCACAGGCCCACTATCGTTGCATTTCTAGACATACGTGCCGCTTTTGACTCCGTTGACCGACCTGCTTTATGGCGTTGCTTACTAAAGAACGGGGTGCCAGAGAAATATATCGCCATCTTACGAGCACTTTACCTTCACACATCCGGCAGAGTGAGGGTCTATGGCAAGCTTTCCTCGCAATTCGCTGTCAATAGCGGTGTGCGACAGGGCTGCCCTATGTCCCCATTCCTCTTCAACTTCGCAATCGAAGACGTTCTGTCGAATGCTCTAGAAGGTTTCTAACATTTTGGCCTAGAGCTTCTACCGGGTGGGCGCGCGACCGACTTAGATTATGCTGATGATATCGCCTTACTTGGTGACGATCCTCAGAGTATGCAACTCATTCTGGATCGTTTGGCGGTTGAGGCATCTACGTATGGCATGAGCTTCGCCCCATCGAAGTGTAAAATACTGCTCAAAGATTGGCATTTGCCTGCTCCCGTACTCACTCTCGATGGTGCACAATTTGAACAGGTAGATAGTTTCGTCTACCTTGGGAGCTGTATTTCTGCTGATGGCACTATCAACAAAGAAGTTTCTCTTCGTATCGCTAAAGCTCGATCGGCATTTGTCAATTTGAGGCACTTGTGGCGTCGTCGCGACGTCTCATTCTCACTAAAGGGCCGAGTTTACAGTGCATCAGTTCGCTCAATATTGTGGTATGGGTGCGAGTCCTGGCCGCTTCGCGTGGAAGACATGCGTCGTCTTTCTGCGTTCGATAACGGTTGCTTAAGGAGGATCGCGCGTGTTTGGTGGCAACATCGAGTTAATAGTAATGACGTTCGACGTCGCATCTTGGGGAATGCGAGTATTCCCTTCAACAAACTGGCTTTGTTGCGCCAGTTGAGGTGGCTCGGTCACGTTCTACGCATGGCACCTGAGCGTCTACCGCGTCGCGCTTTATTCGCTCGTCAAGGACCTGGCTGGAGGCGACTGCGTGGTGGTCAGCCTTCCAATTGGCGGCAGCACATGAAATCGCTGACGTCGTGTCTAGCCGCTGTAGGATCCGTACGTCTTCCAGGATGGGGACCCAAAGATGAGGAGTGCCAGTGGCTTAGCACTCTTGAAGATATGGCCCGCAACCGGAATCAGTGGAAGAATTGTGTACATTATTGTATTGATTCACATGTTTAATTCTACAAACATTAAAATGACAAAAAAGAACAAAAGCGGCGTGTGAAAAACAAACTAAAAATGTTTTGTTCTGCTTTTTATCAAACTGTTCCATTCTTCCTGCGGCATATTAGTTGAAGTGTGTTGCTCACCTTCAACTAGCATGCCACGATGATTATGACGTTTTGAATCTGACTGGCTCTTTGTCTAGCTAATAGACTGTTGAGAATACATACATACTACTCTACAATAAGACAGTATCGATTGCACTGGGTAGGGTGAAACCCCGTTTGACTGAAGAGATTAACCTAGGGAGTGACTGAA